GGAATATGTTTTCAGATAAAATAATTCAACTCACTGAACAGTACATCCCACACCGCAGTGTAACCAACAACTCAAATGCACCCTGGTACAACAGCCATATCCGGCGTTTGTCAAACAGGAAAAAGCGTTTCTTTCGCGCCGCAAAACTTTCGCCTTCTAATGAACGTTGGGCTTTATATGCAACAGCGTTCTACGTTGTACATTCAAGCCCTTCGAGATGCAAAAAAACATTTTCATTCCCATGTACTACCTTCCATGTTAACCACAAATGTTAAGAAATTCTGGCGAACTTTCAATCCCTCAACCGATGACGCTATCACACTGACCGATTCCTCTGGCGACCCCATTTCATCTGATATTTGTGCCTCAGTTTTAACCGTACATTTGCTGAGAACTTTTCTGCCCATCCTGCTGTTAATAACCCCACAACAAACAGCCATACCTTTGAAAGTATGCCACCTATACTAATCAGTACACTTGGTGTTCTTGAGCTCATTGGTGGACTTAGCCTTCATTCAGCTCCCGGCTGTGATAATATTAGTAACAAGTTCTTGAAAAACACTTCGGCCTACGCTGCGTTAATCTTAACTAAACTTTTTCAACAGTCTCTTGATCAGTCCATTCTTCCAAATGAGTGGAAAATTGGGAAGGTCATTCTAATTCACAAGTCTGGAAGCAAGACATCTCCACTTAACTATCGCCCCATTTCCTTAACGAGCACATGTTGTAAAATGTTTGAGCATATTATTTTCACTAACCTTGTCGGTTTTCTAGAATCCAACTCTTTTTTCTGTTCAGCACAACACGGTTTTAGAAAACATTACTCATGTGAAACTCAGCTAATAACCTTTACTCATGCGCTACATCAAGTACTAGATCGATCATCGATCATTGACTGCATATTTTTAGATTTTTCTAAGGCATTCGACAAGGTTTGTCATAAATTGCTACTGCTTAAACTAAACACGCTTAATATTGGTATTAATTTACTGAAATGGATTGAGTGCTTCCATTTAAACCGCTCACAATTTGTTTCTTTTAATGGCTTTAACTCAGAGTTTACAGATGTCTATTCGGGAGTTCCTCAAGGTTCAGTCCTTGGGCCTTTATTATTCCTAATTATATTAATGATCTTCCTTCCGTTGTTAACTCTAATATTCTCCTATTCGCGGATGACTGTGTTGTTTTAGAGAGATAACGAACTCTAATGATGTTGCCTCACTTCAGTCTGATCTTGGCGCAATCGCAGACTGGTGCAGTGAATGGCTAATGCAACTAAATATTAATAAATGTAAAGTCATGCGTGTTTCCAGAAAATCTTCCCGTCCACCACCATACCACATTGATAACATTCATTTAGAATCAGTAACTTCATATAAATACCTCGGTGTTTACATTACTGCAAACCTAAACTGGTCTGCTCATATCGAGCACTTAATTAACAAAGCTAACCGCATGTTAGGCTATCTTCGTCGAAATTTTTATCACGTTCCTTCCTCCTTGAAACTCCTGCTCTATAAAACACTAATCCGATCGAAATTAGAGTATGCTACATCGGTGTGGGATCCCACCCATATCAACTTAATTACTGCTCTAGAGATGGTTCAGAACAACTCTGTACGTTACATTCGCGCTAATTACAGTCGCATCGCCAGCATAACTTCTATGAAATCAGACCTTTCCCTCCCATCATTATCACTGCGCAGAAAAGTGTCACGCATTGCCTTGTTTCATAAAATGTATCATCATCCTGATCTGCGCGATCGACTCATCCCTCAACCATCTTATGTATCCCATCGCACTGATCATCGTCACAAAGTTGGATTCGCTTCATGTAATACTGAGTACTTTTATCAATCATTTCTACCACGAACCTCTCGCGATTGGAATGGCCTTCCCGCTGACATTGTAAACATTAATAACTGTACACATTTTCGCAATTCTGTAGCTAATATTGTATACTCAGGCTCTTTCTAACTTATAGTGCGTCTCTATTGTACTTGCATATTTTGTTCCTCTTATTTTGTTACCTTTTTGTGCTTTTACCACTCCCCCTCTGTAATGCCTCTGGCCCTGAGGGGTATAATAAAATGAAATGAAATGAAATGAAATGAAAAAATTTTGGTAGGTTTGTAGGCTGATATGTCTGCTTGTCCGTCCTTGGCGGTACCTTGAACGGCACCAAACTGGTCCAACGATACTTTAAACGGTGGCCCCATCTTTAGCACCCACCAATATTGCTCAAGATTCAGCGTTGTTACTTGCGTGATTGTCAAATAAAAAAATTTTATTGCGCATGTCAGAGGCACCATAACAACATGCCATTAATTTGTATCTGCGTCTCTTACTAGAAAAGGCACACATATGTAGTTATGAGGACTGCAGCGTTTATCACGTTGCGCTGACCAGACAACGCTTGCACGAAAAGGCTACTGTTTCCAACGTTTCGCTAAGACGACATGGTAGTGGAATCTCCCCGTGCCTTGCGTTCCACATCTTATCACCTCCGAGACGGGTGCCCAGGGCGCGCGCGCTTCGTTTTCCAAGATACCTCCCAGATTACGCTCACGTGTGACGTGACTTGATGCGCTCGTTCGCCTCTGCTGCACGCTCGAGGTACTCCAACGCAGCGCCTCCAGTATACTATTCACCAATTTTTTTTTGCGCAGAACATCAAATGAACGTTTGTTCACTCTCTCCAAACGCAAGACTATCGTCTTTGGACGACATTTGCAGTGTAAGATGTAGATAAGGGGCAACTTTTCTGAAAGAATTCCTAATGGTAAACACGTCGTAGAACTGTTCCTTAATGTTCCCGCCGTGAGCGTGTCATTACTTTTTTGGTTTCTTACCGGCAAAGAGTTAGTTTGCATGGTGTTTTTGCATTTGTCTCAAACTGTGGAATGTGTTTATTGCATTCTGATACTTATTGCCATTGCAAATGGTTATAACTAGTCATCTGGGAGCATGAAGAGCTACATGCGCTCACCCTTCTGAAAAGTGTGGGCTGTGAATGCATAGCTGAGCAATGCCGCCACAAAGTTATCTGTCAGAATCGTCACTGCTATACTAACACAATACCAAGTAACATGAAGATTGGGCCTAATCCGGATTTTTTTAATGTAACGATATGTCCCAGACAGGTCATTTCTCAGCCGCGCACAGAGAACAAATTAATGATCTTATTCTGTGTTATGCGAAGGCGCAACTACCATGTGTATCCTATGTCTTATGCGCCGGACCAGTCACCTGCTTTTTAGGTGGTGACGTGAGCCAGTTGGCCGAGTCTGCTGCGCACAAGTTCAGTTTGCGTTTCACTGGCAAAGCTTCATTTTGATTACTTCACTGCACTACAAGATTAGCGTCATGGTGGCAGAGGTAAAGTGGATGAGTTCGCAACACTTGGCATGTGATGCAGGTTCTTTTTTTCTCTTTTCTTTCTGCCTTGAAGGATTGATTGATATTTGAGGTTTAACGTTCCAAAACCGCCATACGATTATGAGAGACGCCGTAGTGGAGGGCTCCAGAAATTTGGACCACCTGGGGTTCTTCAACGTTCACCCAAATCTGAGTACACGGGTCTACAACATTTGCGCCTTCATCGGAAATGCAGCAGCCGCAGCCGGGATTGATACCGCAACCTGCAGGTCAGCAGCTGAGTGCCTTAGCCACTAGACCACCGCGGTGTGGCTGCCTCGAGGGAGCCAAGCGATAGGGATGTGTTAGCGCACTTATGTCTTTGTGCTCATAGTCCATGTAGCGCAGCGGCACACATGTCCATACACACGTGTGCCCTATGCGTCATGTCTTCCTTTTTTATTTTTGCTGTCCTTACGAATAATTCAACAGGAACGTGTGCAGCGCCCTATTTTATCGCGCTCTTTTGTGATAAATTGTTTTCGAAAGAAAAAGGCGGCTTCAATGAAGGCTTTCACAACAAACATCATCTCTGTTAGGGCACAGACAAGCCGTTTTTAGGAATAGTGCTCGCCTTAGCTACATTTTTCGTACGACGATTTCTAAACAGTTAAAACCTCCGTGTCATCAAGATCATTCGTTTTGATGTATGGGCCACATTTATTACGGTGTATTCACTTATATATCCTCAGGCAAACAGTTATAAAATTAACCCTCCAAATTGGTAACGTTTTGTTGTAATTTGTTGCAGACCAGGTGGGAGGAGTCAACTAAAATGGCTACAACGACGACGGTACAGTGAGGAGTGCTAGTGATTTCGTAGCAAGTGTTTGCTTGATTTCAGCCAATCAGCTATGGGCTTCTGGTGGGCCACAATTCGGCCACACGTGAGAACTACGTCGCGAAATGATTCATGGCTGAGAATGAGCCGAAGCAGCGGCATACGGAAGACAGCGGGCCGAAGCATCGGACGCTGGCGCCCCAGGTTTTAGCCAGAGAACGTGGCTATCCACGCAACTTCCGTCCAACTACCAGCTGGAGCAACATCCCCAGCACGAGTCCTGAATTTCGGGGCGTGGCCTGGCCAGCTGTTTTGTTTCATTGCGAGGGCATCGCGAATCTCGGCGTGGCGTTTTCGCGGCCAGCCGTTCGGCCCAGTGACGGACGAGGCCTGGCTAATGGTGACGGCTGTGTCTCGACACGAGCTCTTCACTCGGCGAGCTGACCATTCCCTGCCTGAATCATTGCATCTCCAATGCGGGGTGACTGTTCCGTAGTCGCACCCACGCCGTCAGGTGTCATCGTCACACATGGAGACGCACCCTGCTTCACATCGCCTGTCCTCGCCTTCGGCATCACAGCGTCCCTGGTACCGATCCTTTTGCACTATGAGGTTCCTGAACTTTAGATATTTTGTGAGCTCACGTTAGTTTTTCTTGTTCAGCTTAATTGATGTGTTCACATTGTAACTAAGTGTTTACTTTAGCTATATTTCCGTTCTGCAATAACGTGGTGTGGATCATTTACCACGTCGTCGTTTTCTCAGTCAACTTTCTCTTCACACAGCACGCAAAACAAGCATGATGAGCGAAGCCCTTTATATTTTTATTTCACCAGGTCTTCGCAGTTCATCGGCGAACTTCTTTTTTTTATTCTATCTTCAGACAATGGTCATACATACATCAGAACACTATGAAATCACACTAGGCTGCGCATATCATTTCACTGGTTTTTGCGAATATTTCTTGGTAAAAAGCGCAACTTGATGTGGCTGATCTTCAAGATAGAAGTATCAGGATTGTCGAAGTTGATGTTGATTGGCTGCTCCGGTGTGACATTATATTTCTGAAGCAGGAATGTGATAATAAGAAATATCTCCATTCTCGCGAACGTCTCCCCGGCGCAAGATCGGTGACCTGCAAAAAAAGGGGCACTTATGGTCACGAATTGATGTTGCAATTTATATATATTAATATATATATATATATATGCATATATATGAGATCTAACAGACAGTAATGCCAAGGATTGTGCAGGTGAAGTTATTAGAAGCAATTGAATGTAAATAAGAAGAAGGAAAAGTGGATGAAAAAGTGGAGCATCGAACGCGTTATTCGAAGGTCGTAGGTTCGATTGCTGCTCACGGCTGGTTATTTTTTCATCCACTTTTCTTTCTTCATATTTACATTCAATTGGTTCTAATAGCTTCCCCTGTACATTCCTTGGCTTTTTTGTCTGTTAGATCTCATTATTATTGTGTTAAAACACGCAAAAACGAGCCCTTAGGTATACACTTCTTTCCCTTTTATATATATATATATATATATATATATATATATATATATATATATATATATATATATATATTTGTATAAGGAAGAAGACGCACGTACGCCGTGATTTTATTGACTTTTCGGCCGTGGGTCCGCCCTTCATCATATTCTGATGAAGGCCGGACCCGCGGCCGAAACGTCAATAAAATCACTTCGTACGAGCGTTTCCTTCCTTATACGAATAATCTTACCCGGACCCATCACTTTCGTTTTTGGTATATATATATATATATACATATATATATATATATATACATATATATATATATATACATATATATATATATATATATATATACATATATATATATATCATCAGCCTGACTACCTCTACTGCAGGACAAAGGCCTCTCCCATGTTCCGCCAGTTAACCCGGTCCTGTGCTTGCTGCTGCCAATTTATACCCGCAAACTTCTTAATCTCGTCTGCCCACCTAACCTTCTGTCTCCTCCTAACCCGCTTCCCTTCTCTGGGAATCCAGTTAGTTACCCTTAATGACCAGCGGTTATCCTGTCTACGCGCTACATGCCAAGCCCATGTCCATTTCCTCTTCTTTATTTTAAATATGATGTCCTTAACCACCGTTTGTCCCCTAATCAACTCTGCTCTCTTCTTGTCTCTTAAGGTTACACCTACCATTTTTCTTTCCATTGCTCGCTGCGTCGTCCTCAATTTAAGCTGAACCCTCTTTGTAAGTCTCCAGGTTTCTGCTCCGTAGCTAAGTACCGGCAAGATACAGCTGTTATATACCTTTCTCTTGAAGGATAGTGGCAATCTACCTGTCATATTTGAGAGTGCTTGCGAATGTACTCCACCCCATTCTTATTCTTCTAGATATGCCAATCTCGTGGTTAGGCTCTGCGGTTATTACCCGCCCTAAGTACACATACTCTTTTACAACTTCAAGTGCACTATTACCTATCTCGAAGCGCTGCTCCTTTCCGAGGTTTTTGTACATTACTTTCGTTTTCTGCAGATTAATTTTAAGACCCACCTTTCTGCTCTCCTTGTCTAACTCCGTAATCATGAGTTGCAATTCGTCCCCGGAGTTACTCAGCAATGCAATATGTCATCGGCGAAGCGCAGGTTACTAAGAAATTCTCCATTAACACTTATCCCTAACTGTTCCCAGTCTAGGCTTCTGAAAACCTCCTGTAAGCACGCGGTAAATAGCATTGCGGAGATTGTGTCCCCCTGTCTTACACCCTTCTTGATTGGTATTCTGTTGCTTTTTTTATGAAGCACTATGGTAGAAGTTGATCCCCTGTAGATTTCTTCGAGAATGTTTATATATACTTCATCGACGCCCTGATTCCGCAGTTTCTGCATGACGGCTGATATTTCTACTGAATCAAACGCCTTCTCGTAATCTATGAAGGCTATGTATTGTGGTTGGTTACACTCTGAGCATTTCTCTATTACCTCATTGATAGTATGAATGTGGTCAATTGTTGAGTAGCCTGTTCGAAATCCTGCTTGTTCCTTTGGTTGATTGAATTTTAATGCTTTCTTTACTCTGTTAGCAATTACCTTTGTAAATAGCTTGTATACTACAGAGAGCAAGCTGATCGGCCTGTAATTCTTCAAGTCCTTGTCATCTCTTTCTTATGTATTAAGATGATGTTAGCGTTCTTCCAAGACTCTGGTACCCTTCCCCTCTGGAGACACCTCGTAAACAGGGTGGCTAGTTTTTCTAACACAATCTGTCCTTCATCTTTCAGCAGATCTGATGTTAACTGATCCTCACCAGCAGCTTTGCCTCTTTGCATTCTCTCCAAAACTTTTCTGACTTCTTCTATTATTACTGGTGGGGTGTCATCTAGGTTACTGCTAGTTCTTATAGTATTAAGGTCGTGGTTGTCTCGGCTACTGTACAGATCTCTGTAAAACTCCTCCGCTATTTTAACTATCCTATCCACATTGGAAGTTATTTTGCCTTCTTTGTCCCTTAGTGCATACATCCGACTTTTGCCTATCCCAAGTTTCCTCTTCACTGCTTTGACGCTTCCTCCGTTTCTTGGAGGAAGCGTCATATATATATATATATATATATATATATATATATATATATTATATATATATATATATTGTCACGAGCAAAACAAGACCTGAAGCAAGGAGTTGACCTGAACCAGAGCAACGAAAATGTTCTCTTCTTCCTCGCAGCCCAAAACGAGTATGAGCCACAGCGGCTCGTTCATCAGTGGCGGCATTACCCCCTCTCCCAAGAAGCATAGTCTTCGATGCTGTACAAGAAGGCAAAAAAAAGTAAATGAGCCTAAAATTATCATGCAAGGCAAAATAATGGCGTAAGGCGGAATAACGTACCTAATTGTGGAGCCAAGAGATAAATGAGAAATAAGAAAAATAGGAAATAATGTAAGGAAAAGACGAAACAAAAAGAAAGACGCGAAGTTACCAATAAAGTCAGTCACTCACTGGCGATTCACAGCGCGAAAAGTGTGGTTTGAGCCGTGAAACGCGAACAACTTCAGTTTGCGGGGTGAAACGGGAACGTCTCGAAGTGCCTTCTTGAAGAACCTTGTAATTGACGTCGCTGAAACGTCGTACGTCCTTGTAAGGACCGAAGTAGTGGCGAAGAAGCTTTTCTAAACGGCCACGTTGTCGGACAGGGGTCCACACCCAGACTTAATCCCCGGGCTTGAAAATAAATTCCCAGTGACAAAGATTGTAGCGGGGCGCGTCTGCGGTTTGGTGATGTTGAAGATGGTTTCGAGCCAATTGGCGGGCCTCTTCTGCACCCTGCGCGAATTTGGCGGCATCCGTGTGATACGTTCTTAAGTTGTCGGGCACGAGCATGGCGTCGAGCATCGTTGTGACCTCGCGACCGTGGACAAAGCGAAAAGGTGTGAAACCGGTACTTTCTTGAACAGCAGTGTTATACGCAAAAGTTATGTAGGGAAGTATGACGTCCCAGTTCTTGTGATCGAATGTCCACATACATTGACAGCATGTCTGCAAATGTCTTATTAAGTCGTTCAGTCAGCCCGTTTGCTTGCGGGTGATAAGCCGTTGTTTTACAATGTTCCGTGCCGCTTAATCGCAAGACTTCCTGCAGCATCTCTGCGTTGAAAGCTCTCCCACGATCAGTTATGATGACAGCTGGAGCACCATGACGTAAGACGATGCTGTTAACAAAATATTGGGTGACGTCTGCTGCGGTGGCTTTTGGAAGTGTCTTGGTTTCACAGTAGCGTGTTAAGTAGTCGGTAGCGACCACAATCCACCGGTTTCCAGACGAAGACGTGGGGAACGACCCCAGCAAGCCCATGCCAATATGATGAAAGGGGGCTTTTGGTGGGCCTGTTGGTTGCAGTAGTCCCACTGGTCGTAAAGGTGGAATCTTACGTCGCTGAAAGTCGCGGCATGTGCGAACGCAGTGCTTCAGAGTCTTTGCGAGACGTGGCCAGTAGTAGGAGCGTTAAATCTGCTGCAGCGTGTGCCTATAGCTGAGGTGTCCGGACGATGCCACATCATGACACGCACGTCAAGGTCACCACGAAGCCTAGTTGGCGCAACAAGCACTCCATTGCGGAAACAAAAGGAGGTAGCGAGCGTGGAAAGCTTCGAGGTGGGTGGGAATGGCGTCTTTCCAATTAGTCAATGAGCGGAATGAGCTCCGAGTCGTGACGCTGTTGCTCAGCCAAGCGGGTTGCTGATACGGCAGAATGAAAAGTGTTGTCGTCTTCTATGTCAGTGTTGGCATTTTCGACCGGTGCACGTGAGAGACAGCCGGCATCGGTGTGTTTTTGCCCAGATTTTTTTAATTAGCAATACTGCTAGCCCCAACATGGGGCCATAACAGAGTGGGTGTACATAGTACTACAAAATCAACAGTACAATACTGCAGTCAACACAGAACAAAGCACTTCAAACAACATAAAAAATGTTTCACGTGAAAAAAAAATAGCTAGTCAGATATAAACTTGTGGACGATGGTGACATCGAAATCTTGTAGCCGACCTGAGGGATCTTTGAGATTCGCGAGCCAACAAAGGGAATGGTGGTCGCTATCTACCCTGAATGGGCGGCCATACAAGTATGGGCGGAACTTTGTTATGGCCCAGACAACAGCGAGGCATTCCTTTTCGGTTGCAGAATAGTTTTAGATGCGGAGCATCTAATACTCGAGGCTTGTAGTGCGGCGCCATCCGCAAGCTTCCTCCTCCTTCTTCCACCATCTGTGCATCCCTTCCTTCTCTACACACCGCGCGCGCTTCACTCCTCCACCATCTGTGCACCCTTCCTCCTCTACACACCGCGTGCGCTTCTCCTCTTCACGAACATTCGCTAGCTGTATAATGTAGCGCGCATGCGCCGTCACGCTTCGAGAACATCGGCAGCTGACGCGCGCGCATGCGCCGTCGCGCTTCGAGAACATCGGCAGCTGACGCGCGCGCATGGGCCATCGCGCTTCTCCCCCTTCTCGAACATTCGACAGCTGACAGTGCATGCGCCGTCGCGCTGTATATATACTCAAGGTCGGCGCTCGCTCGCTCAGTTGCCGCTCGTCGGTTGGTTTGTACGGCGCGTCGACGTCCAAGGTCGCGGTGAAATGAATT